GACGTGAAGCTTTTATTAGAAGTTGCTATTCTCTTTCAACCACGTTAAGTTCTTCCTCTCAGGCTTTCTAACAGCAAGCAGATCCATATGATTAAAAAGGTACAAACCCCCTGCAGTCAAGGGTGACTCCACCTGGTGACTACATGAGCACATTCCTGCAGCTTTCTTAGCAGCAGTATTTGATATCAAAGACTTCGGGCAGAGAAAGGCATTTTAATGGATGCATGCATTTTTTAAGTTTATTTTAATAGATGCTTTTTCAGTATTTCCATCTATCCTCCAGCAATTCTTGCACTATCAAGTATGCACATACCATATGCAACATTTATTCTCTATCTTGATCACCAGAGAGAAATTGATTACTAGGGCGTAAACCAACCAGATTTTAACCTCTTTTTAAATTTTTTAAAAACTCACCCAGCAGGTAAAGAAATACAGCTTTGTCGTATTCCATAACTGAATCATTTAATGATACAAAAATTTAAGAAAACAAGCTAAATTGGTTATAAATTGCAAAATTCAAAATATAATCCTGTGCTTTGAAATGAAAACTCTAACTTCTCCGTTAATCCAAGTCCAATAATTTCAGTAGGAGTACAGATGAACCATCTGTGTGCAACTTTTTATATCAGCTGCATCATTTCCTGTTACAGATACCAAAGGCAGCTGTGCAATCTCAGGAAAGATGCAGCTGCTTTAAAGAGTTGCAGACAGCTGCCACATACCTCACCCATACTATCTGAAGCAGTTTTTTTGGATCAGATCCGAAGTACACACCCCTGTGGGCTAGTGTGTGTGTGTGTGTGTGTGTGTATGGGAGATTCTTGCAGGCTATTCATCAGCTATTCATCAGCTGGAAAGCTGAAAAAGTACCCTGGAAGAGGGCAATGGCAAATCTCTTCTGAGTTCTGCCAAGAAAACTACATGGAGGACAAGTCAGCAGGAATCAAGAAATCTTTAGCTTTTTTAAAAAAAAAATTAAGCTAGCCCAGTCAACCAACAGCCCAGACAAGCAGCAGTCAAACATTACCATGATACCAGCTCAGTACTAAGAGTGGCAGTGGCAACACACTCTGAAAAACATCAGCTACCTGATAGGGCAGCCCCTCACATTGCTTAATGATAGGGCTCGTCCTGCACAAAAGTGCTGAGCCTGGTCCTGGTGTTTACAAAGTTATACCTTAACTTTAAATTTCTAGAAGGCTTATGAAAAGGTTCCTTTTTTTAATAGCATAAAACAACTACCTTTAGTTGTGCCATGGAGAGGACAGACATTAACTCCATGAGTTGAATGGGTCTTAACGTATCCCACCCTGTGTATAAGTTCCCATAAGTATGCACTCAAAAAGGTCAGGTTTCTGTGATATAATCAAGGGACAATGGCAACATCAACTTTACCACTGATTTCAATGGCAAAGTTAAAGACGTGCATAAGTGCTTCCCAGTGAAACGAACAAAAAGACTGTTTATGCTGAATCACATTTTAGCCTAGTTTGTAGTTTGTGGCCTAGTCTCTTGCGGTTGAATGTTCTGTGGGTTGTACACCTCCTGAAAAATGGGTTAATTGGGTAAACTTAATTGGTTAAGGTAACATGCAAGCCAGACTATGCAATTTTTTAATTCTTGTTTTCTGAAAAGAACTCATTGAATCTCATGAAAAGAAAATCTGAGTAAGAACTGACCACCAAATCAAAGCAGCACCTGAAAAACTCATCCAAAGTAAGGATTCCTTTCTGATGATTACCTGTACTGTAGGCTGTAATTATTGTAGGTAGCTATAATAGCATGACCAAGGGAAATGAAAGGGGAAATGTCAAAGAAACAAAGATCCTTTTAAAAAGAACAAGTCATATCTGTGTCTGAAAAAAAAGTTCATATAAGATTAAAAAGGGAAGAGAATAGGGGAGAAATGCAAACGTATTGCTTCCTCCTGCCTATACAGTATATGGAAAGTCCCTAAGGGTTATGCTGGGACAGCATTGTGAAAATTAGGCCAGAAGGAAGGCCTATAAGGATTTGTTTTATGTATGCACTACATCAATAACTCCTGCAAGGATTTACAATTCTTCCACTTACTTTTTTTTCTTTCTAAATTGAGGTAAGCTCTAATGGTGCTAATACAAGGAGAGGTATATCACACCTGCAGTGTACATCCAACTCAGAAACTTTTATTTGGTTATGATACAATAAAGTTAATGTAGATTTCAAAAATCCATTATGTTGGAAGTGCCACATTAAGAATATGGAACAAATGTAAACTCGGGCTGTGCCTGAAAATACCTTTATTGGTCTCAGCATAAGAAGCATTTTATGGAAAAGAAACAGTGGGCAAAGAGAAATGGTTAACATATCAAAAAACTTTAGTACAGGAACAGGGGGAACTTAAGATGAAGTCAAGAGAACAATTGATGGCAGAGGGATTTAGTTTTCAATGGTTTTCATATGCACAATTAAGAGAAAGATTTAATGTAGACAAAAAGGTAACGAACTGAGCAACATAAGGCGAGATTTAAAATCGAATTATGTACAAATGATGAACATTTAATTGCTAAAATGTATAAACCTTCGGTTGAGATTCAAAATGGAAGAAGAACAAGTTAAAGAGTGCATGAGAAAACGGGCTAAGAATTTTGGTTATAATATACAGATGGAGCAATGGGAAAGATTGTGGTTAAAAGGACTGAAATTCACATTGTGTTATAATTTAAAAGAGAACTTCTATAAAATGATATACCATTGGTATATGACACCAGAGAAATTATCTAAGATGTATCAAGGTACTTCTAGTCAATGTTGAAAATGTGAAAAACATGAAGGGACATTTTACCATGCACGGTGGACTTGTGAAAAAGAAAAAAAAGGAGGGGGATACAAATACATGCAATGATGCAAAAAAAATTTAAGGATTAATATTCAAATGAAACCAGATTTTTTTTTTTTAATTGGGACTTATGGATAGCCAGTTAGAAAAGACTCGGGGAAGACTGGTTTTGTACATGGAATTGCAGTAAGACTATTATATGCACAATGATAGAGAAATATTGAAATAACCACAATGGAGGATTGGATTGTGAAGATGGTGGTATTCACAGAAATGGCAAAATGGGCCTGCTTGATCACGGATAAAACAATAAATACTTTTTTAAAAAGACTGGGAACTCTTTACAGACTTTTTGCTGAAAACAGGAAAAAAATGAAATGGCGATTTCTGGATTTGCTGATTAAAAAGGATTGAATATGGGATGGAAGGGGACTACATAATGTAATTTTAAAGAGGGAGGAGGGATACTACATTTGTAACTGCTGTTACAAAGATCATAAGTCGCTTCTTTAGTTATCTTTTTTTTCTTTTTCTATCTGTGCTGTTCTTTGTACTTTTTCATTTATCTTTTTCTCCTTAACTTTTCTTTATATATTTTCATGTTTATCTTTTTTTACTTATGTAAAAATCTTTAATAAAAATTATATATAAAAAAAGAAACTTTGACTTGGTTCATGCATTACACTAAGCCATAATGTGGCTTTCTTGTTTGTGACATAGCATGGGGGAGATGGGCAGCATGTAAATTTAAAAATAAATAAATAAATAGGATGTTATGTCAACCCAGCCATAGTAGCATATGAATCATGGTTTATGGTTTAATCTGCTGTGTGAAGCAATCAAGTTTGGTTTATTCAACAAACCATGGCTTAGCATTAGATGTGAACCAGGTTTTAATGTATCAATCAAGACCACATTTTAAGGGAGAAGCTGGTTTGAACTCTGCTTTTGATTATATGTAATAGGTCAGTCAAATTTATGAAACAGAACCTGTGGTTATGCACACTTGCTATCTTGTGACCTCTTTCCACTGAGTACAATCTTTCCACTCAAGGCCAGAATAGAAATGGATGTCATATGAAAGCATTCACATTTCATATGATTCATTAGAAAGAAAGCACAGTTCTCTATCCAAGGGATATGTGACAGATGATATATGGTAAATATAAGTTAATTCCCAAAATGATTGGGAAGATTTCATTGATGCAAAAATTGCTGATGTTAGAAACAAACTGATGGCATAGAGAAGCAGTGTGAAACTGGCTGAGTTCATACACCATGCTTAGCCAAAATGTTGTTTCCTTGTTTGTAACTTCACATACTTTGGGAATCCAGCCAGTAAGCCTGTGAATCAAGGCTTATAGTTTAATGTATCAACCCAGCCAGTTGTGGTTTATTCATTAAGTCATAGTTATTTCCTTATGGATTGCTATATTGTGAAATATGTATTTTACACAGGGAAAAGGAAGCTCTTACGGGAGGTGAAAGACCCTTTGTACTTCCTTCCTGTAGTTCCACTTCTACCTCAGTTTAGCCACCTTCCCTCATCATGAATCCTTTTGGCTGAAGGAGATCATGGCTTTGCTTTCTGCTATATCTCCAGAAGATTGTATAATTCTAGTCACATGATATTATCTCTCTTTTTCTGGACAGGCATCTTAGGCCAGAAGTAGAATACTGTATAAGGCAGAAATTCAGCTATGCTTCTTTTTCCTAGAACTCTTGCAGGAAAGGTTGCAACATTTGGGTTTCTGCATGCCATGAATCTGTTAAAGACCAAGCTTGTTTGAGGGCATCTACTAGCAAATGCTGTTGAGTAGGGGAGAGAAACTTGCTAAGGCCTGCTGTTGAGCCTTTAATAGCAGTTTGCTCTGCAAAAATCAAGAAAAGATACACACATTACAATTCCCTAGTGCCTTTAAATCAGGCTGCTGTTAAAAGCATTGGAACAGGAGGCTGGTAAATTTTTGGCAGCTTTAACTGCTTTTGTGTTATACTAGTGATAACTACTGTGGTTTCATAGAAGAAAAAAAATTGCACCAGAGGATATAACTTTCCATTACTGTAGAATTATGATCAAAAGAGTATCATCCGGCGAAAGGTCTTCCATACTTG